TCCTTGGAACCCACATGGTGGAGAACACTGACTCCTGAACGTTGTCCTCTGACCTCCGCCATTGCAACAGGACATGCACACGCAGCACACATGCCATTAATAAATTCCTGCTTGAAAAATTAAACAACATCCAAAAGTGTGGATGGAAGGAAGCCTTGTGGGCTGAGCAGGGTAGGAGAGCGACTGCATCCTAAGGATACAGGAGAGAGGATGTCCTGCCTTGAGGCTGATGTTTTCGCCATGAAGGCTCAGTTAAGGGGCCTGGATATTCTGAGGATGACAGGGAGCCATGGAGAAATTTAAGAGGAAGAAGGACAGGGCCAGCTGTGGTGCTGTACAGTCTTTGGGGAGGTGAGTAAGGAGAAGATGTGTGAGGGCTAGTGGTGTGGGCTGGTAGCAGTCTAAGGAAGAGCAGGGCAGGAGGAAGGGACCGGAAAGAAAAGGGCATCTACCCAGGAGGCCAGATAGACCTACATGTGGCCTGGCTGTTGGAACAGAAGGCTTCAAGGAAGCACTGAAGCAACAGTGACAGAACAGCTTGTGTGACCTTCCCAGTGTGAGGCTTGACAGGGTGCATTAGTCATCTGTCCAAAGAGCAGAAGGCCTAGAGCTTCAAACAACACATACTGAGAACCCCATAGCTGCTGCAGATCAGGGTCCAGCAAGATATGGTGATCTGGCCAGGGTCTCTCAGACCTGAAACCACGGATTGGCTCATTCTTATCTGGAGCTTGGGCTGGGAGAGATCACCAAACTCCTGAAACCTGTGCAGAATTCACTGCCCTGTAACCAGAAGAAGTTCCTTGTTGTCTTGCTGCCAATCAAAATTCTCTGTACCATGGCTCTCTCTATAGTATAATGTGTGTGTGTGTGTGTGTGTGTGTGCAGGTACACATGTACCTCAGCATGCATGTAGAGGTTAAATAACACATTTGTGAGAGTCAGTTCTCTTCTATTTTTTCCCCTGTAAATTTATTAGTCTTTTTTTATGTGTGTCTGAATGTGGGTGTGCATGTGGGGGTCAGGGGGCGGCTCTGAGTTGTTTCTTTCCCTTTACTGTGGGTCCTGGGACTTGAACTCAGGTTGTTAGGCTTGTGCAGCAAAAGCTTTTACAAGCTGAGCCATTTTGATGGCTCATCCACCTTGTCGAGGCAGGGTCTCTTTGGTTGTCTATTCCAGCTGGTCTCCAAACTTCTGAAAAATTCTCCTGTTTCACCTCAGGGGTGCTGGGATTATGGATGTGAGCCATGCACAACATCTGACTTTTCATGTGGCTTCTAAGAGTTGAACTGAGGCCATCAGGCTTTCATGGCAAATGTGTCTACCTGGGAAGCCGTCTCTCTGGCCCTGATCGTGTGTTCTTTAAAGGATATTAGAGGGACAGGGGATGGGGCTCAGTAGGTAGGGTATTTGCATAGTGTGTGTGCACAAAATGGTGAATTCAGTCCACAGCATTGTATAAACCAGGTATGGTAGTGTACACCGGTAATCCAAACATTTGAGAGGCAGAGGCAAGAGAACCAAGTTCAAGACTAGCCTTACCTACAGAGAATGATCAAGGGAAGTCTAGGCTATGTGAGACCATCTTTGAAAACCAAACCAAACAAAAACAGCTTCTTTAAATACATAAGCAGATTAAAGTAAATAAATATGAAATGTGTTCTCTTTAGTCACCAGAACAATAAGTATTCTAATTATGTATCATTTAAATATAAAAATTAACCAGCAATGTAAAACTATTTATATGTGAAGGAAGGGAGAAAAAAGTGAGTTCCATGTGAGTAAAATCATTTTCTATCAGAGAAACAAAAGACAATAGATAATACATCATGTAGACATATTCAAAGATAATTATTATTTAGAAATGTCAAGAAAAGTCGGAAAAGAAATACTTTTTTTCCCTTCGAAACAGGGTCTCACTATGTACTCTTGGCTGCCCTGGACCTCACACATGTCCTTTCTGCTTCTGCCTCTTGAGTGCTGAGATGAAATGTGAGTGCTACCACACCAGGCCCCAAGAGAAGACATAGTTTAAAACATTTACAAGGTCAGAGAGTTGTCTCTGTACTTAAGAATGCTCCCTGAACAAGCATGACCATCATAGTTCAGCTCCTACTCAACAAGTTGGGTGTCTTGTAAACTTCTGTAACCTCAGCTCCAAGATGGGTAGAGACTGAAGGGGGAGGGAATCTAAAGCTTGCTTGCTTCCAAAGAAGAGGTAAGCCCCATGTCCAGGTACAGGGAGAGACCCTGCTTCAAAGGAATAGATAGTGATGGACAACGTCTGATGCCCTCTCTTGACATCCACACTTGTACTGGCATGCGTTTCATGAGTGAGTGCATGCGTGTACAAACACACACACACACACACACACACACACACACACACACTCACACACAGACCATGGAGATGGCTCAGTGGTTTAGAGTGATTGTGGCTCCTGCAGAAAATCCAGGTTCAATTCCCGGCACCCACATAGTGACTCACAATCATCTGTACCTCCAATTCCAGGGGTTCAGACTTCCTCTTCTGACCTCTTCCCGCATGAGGCACACATGTGGTGCACATACATCAATGCAAGCCAAACACTGATATGTACAATAAAACACATAACTCTAAAGCAACAACAGCAACAAAATCCCACTGACAGCCCTTTCCATAAGGAACAGAATTTGGGATACAATTGGCTGAATTATTTTTCTTAAAATCCCTCATGTACTATTTGTTTTTTTTCCTTTAAGAAGTAGTTACTAGCAATATTGATTTGTGTAGGAGATTGAATTTAATTTAAAATAAAAATAAAGTTGGTAATTAGGCCCCAGTGGCTAATTATTTTATGCTAGTGTGTCTCTACTGTGGGTGATTTTTGTCTCTCAAGGGACTTGGGACAGTGTCTGAAGACTTTGGTTGTCATAACTGGAGAGAGGGTGCAGATCCTGGCTTTCAGTGGGTGCCAGCAAGGGTTACTGCTCAGTCTCCCACAAGGTAAAATTCACCCCATAATGAAGCAGCACCTGATCTGGATGTCATTCATATCAAGGCTGGGAAACCTTGGCTTTATTTTTCATTATCTGAAATCCAACTTTGATGTCAACTGACATCATGCTCAAGCTATGGAATGTGCTTCTCTTTCTCACCCTCAGTCTTTACATCTGTAAAATGGGAGCTAAGCTAGATATGGTGATACATGACTGTAATCCCAGTACTTGGGAGACCTAGGATGGAAGGCTGACATAAGTTTAAAGCTCATTTGGTCTACATAATAAGACCTTTTCTCAAAAAAAAAAAAAAATAAGGCCTGGCTATATGACTCATTGGGTAAAAGATGCTTGCCATCTGGCCTAATATCTAAGTTCAATTGCTGGGATCTACTGGTGGAGAGAACCAATGTCTATTGTCTGTCTTCTGGTGTGCACATAAACATCATGCCATGCATATTCCTCCCACCCCCCTGAAATCACACAGAAAATAAATAAAATATAATAAATTAAGCAATTAAAAATTGGGTATGGAGCCAAGCAGTGGTGGCACATGCCTTTAATCCCAGCACTCAGGAAGAAGAGGCAGGCGGATCTCTGTGACTTCGAGGTCAGCCTGGTCTACAGAGCGAGATCCAGGACAGCCAGGGCTACACAGAGAAACCCTGTCTCGAAAAACCAAACCAAACCAAAACAAAAAAACTAGGTATGGTGTTGTACACCCATAATCCCAAAGTTCAGGAGATAAAGACAAGTTCAAGGTCATCTTTGGCTGCAGAGTGAATTTCTGACCAGCCTAGGACACATGAGAACCTGTCTTAAAAAGAAAAATGAAATAACTGGAAGTTGTGGAGGTGTCACAGCCAGAAAAAAGCTTGCAGCAAAAGTATGAGGACCCGAGTTCAGATTCCCAAGTGTGGTAGGGTCTGCCTATAATCTCAGTTCTAGGGAGGAGGAGACAGGAAGATGCCGGGGGTCTGCTGGCCAGCCAGTCTAACAGAATTCTCAAGCTCCAAGCCAGTGAGAGACCCTGCCTCAAAAAATATGATGGAGAGAAATTGAGGAAGATATCCAACATTGATCTCTGTTACACACACACACACACACACACACACACACACACACACACACATACACACACGCATACACATGCACAAATGTATACACATGCAAAACCAGGCAAACAAATAAATAATGAAATAAAAAAATAATGAAATAAAACATAATGGGGGTAACCTCTGAATTGCTTCCTGAAAAGACTGAGCCAATGCCTGCAAAGTACTGAGCCTGCAAATTAAACGTTCAATTTATATTGGTTGTCATTGTTGAGTCTGTTTTATCCTTCTCCTTGGCAAAAGATGCTGAAAAAAATATGCCCAGAACTGACAAGTGGATTCCAGGTCCCTTCTTTCCCTGAGGGGTTATTTTTATTTGCTTCTAAACCAGGAGTGTAAGGATATTTTTCCGAACTTCAGTCCCTCAGGGGGCATGGTGGGAATGAAATGAACTGAGATATCTAAAGCAGTACCAAGGAAAGCTGGTGTCCTGATGATATCTGTCGAAACTGAAACCGGAGGATTGCCTGGAGTTTGAGCCCAGTTGGGCTATAGAGTGAGTCCCAGGCCAGCCTGTCCTACAAACTGAGACGCTGTCTCAAAAAACTGAAGAGAAACAACCAAACAAAACAAAAACAGAAGGAAGAAAAGAAAGACTAGTGGAACTTTTGAGAAACTGGGTACTCAGAGATACAAAATCCATCAGGTAAATGAGACATAGAAGGGAGCATAGGTTGTCCTCTGTTAGCCTCCTCCCAGGGTGGAGATGGTTTGGCCCATCTAAGCACTTGCCAAGCCAGCCTGACCGCCTTAGTTTCGTGTTCAGGACCCATAGGGTGGAAGGAGAGAATCAACTCTTGCAAGTTGTCCTCTGACCTTCTCACGCAAGCCACGGCACACACCTTTCCTCACGCACATACGCACCACACTCACACACATGTTAAAAAAAAAGTTTCTGAAACTTACCCATTGCTGGCCTCTCTCCACAAAAAGGCTGCCTTATCCCAGCTCTGCCTGTATCCCCTGCGTGATCTTGAACGGATGGCCTCACATCTCAGAATCTTAGCTTGCCCACTTCCCAAAGATTCTGTCAGAATTTCACGAGATAAAGTGGTTTGTAGACTATCTAGCTCAAGACAGAAACAAACCTTGGCCAGCTCTTAAGATTTTTGTGGTTCGCCCCTACCATGCAGCTCAGGCTGACCTCAGACTCCCTATGCAGCCAAGGACAACCTTGAACTCCTGATCCTCCTGTCTCTACCTCCCTGGGATCCCAGATGTGCACCACCATATTTAGCTCAATTTGCACCAGTCTTAAAAAACGTGTAAAGCGACTTTTCAGGTTGCTCTCCTTTTACCTGAAGGTAACTTCGGTCCTCAGAATGGCTGAGTTTAGGACAGGAAGTGTTTGGCCCAAGGTCACCCAGAAGCAAAGGGCGGTCTCCAAAATCAGGACCAAGGCCAAAGTTGTAATTATCTATTTTCTACCTCAGATTGGCCCATCCCATACTCGCTGGTTAGCTCTAGAAGTGACAGCTAAGTTCACAACTGTTGCCTAGCTCTCCAGCACCGTCCTAGATACATTTATCTCTCCGCTTTGCTCCCCAACCCGATTCTTGTCTTGATGGGAACCGAACGGCATCCTCCTTTTCCATCGGGGTTAAACTACGGTAGAAGCAGAGGGTACCAAGAAAAAAAAAATTGTTGGTAAAACTCAAAATGCTTGCTATGCTTGTAAATGAATTATAGTTCATTTAGAAGAAATCTTTGGCCCCGCTACTTGGGGAAAGAGAAAAAAAGACCCTGAGAAGTTGAGCTTTCCCCTGATTTTTTTTGGGGGGGGGAGGAAAGAGGGAAGAGCATTCCTGGGGTCTTTTTAAAAAGGCCCTCCCCTCATTTCCGGCCGCCGCTGCCAACCTTGGCTGGGCGCCTGGATCCTGTTGCTATGACAACAGGAAGAGGCGGTGGCGGCGGCAAGCCATGCTGAAGAGATGGAGGCTGGTGGGGGTGGGGGTGGTGGCTTTGAAATGGGGGTGGGGGTAAGGACCAGGGGGATGGGGGTGCGGGTGGGAGGGGGCAGAGGTGCCCTCTGTCCCTGCCTTCCTCAGTGCATCTGAGCTGGTCCCCTTTCCCAGAATCAATCTCTCTGTCTCTCCCTGTCTCTGTCTCTGTCTCTCTCTGCCTGTGTCTCTGTCTTTCTCCCTCCTCACTCTCTCCCTGGCCCCCATCCCCAATTTCTTCCTCACCCCTTCCTCTATTTCTTTCCCTTCCCATCCTCTCAGTCTCTCTCTTCCCATCTGTCTCTCCTCCCCCTTCTCTGGATGACTATCTCTTGCTCCTATTCCCTTCTGTTGCCCAGACCCGGACCCCCTCTTCTGTCCTCCCCACACCCTCCCCCAGCCTCCCCCTACCCCTCTATTTCTCCCTCGTCTCTTGCTGTTCTCTCTCTGCCTCTCTTCCTGCTTCTGTCCCCTTCTCTCTCTGGATATTTCTCTCTGTGTGTGTCTCCTCAACTTCCTTCTGCTACCAGTCACTGCCTCCCCCAAATTCTTCCCTCCCCCACCTCTGTTCTCAGTCTCTGGGTCTCTCTCTCTCTCTTTCCGATCTCCTTGTCTCTCTCCGTTTCCCTCCCTCTCTGGATCTATCTCTCTTCTTCCTTAGCTTCCTTCTGCCACTCAGACCCCGCTCCCCAACCGCTTCCCTTCCCCCCCCTCATCCCTCTCCTCTCGGAGGCTCCCCCATCCCTCAGCAGCTCCCCTCCCCCTCCCTCCCTCCTCCCTCCTTCTCTCTTCCAGCTCCGCACTTTACCCAGCGACACGAGAACCAAATTGTCTCCTCACCTTTTTTTTTTTTAAAGCCCGACCCTCTCATCCTGACGGCCCAAGCTCCGAGCTAGCCCCCAGCTCCCCTCCCCCTCACTCTACACCCCCATTCTTCATACGCCTCCTCATCTCCATCCCCTCTCAACCAGGTCGGACGCCTGGGTCCCTTGCTGCTGGGGGAGGGGGGAGCAGCGAGAATTGGGAAGCCCAGAGGTGTTTCTGGGGGGAGGGGTGCTGGCAGCAGGGGCTGGACGTCCCTCCCCAGTGCATCGGAGAGTTGACCTATCATTAACTGAGGTGAGAGATCTTTTTATTAATCGGAGGTGGGTGGGTGTAGATTTAAGGTTCCGTGAATCCCCCTGATTCTGAGGAAAAAAAATCCAGTCTCTCAAACGAAAGACTGTGACCCTCTTCTATCCAGAAGATTTAGAATTGGGGGGTCCTCTATTCCTTTCTCCTTTGCAGATGGACTCAATGAAGAGTCCCCAAAGCCAAACAGATTGTCTCTCAAATTGACAGAAATGAAAAGCTCTTAAAATCTTTATGATGGAGAAAGTCCCTCCTGGTCCCTTTCCTCCTATCCCAGGTTGTAGGGCCCACGAGGCTTGGGAAGAAGGTACATGTTGGGGTCAGAGCTCATGTCCGTGGAAGCAGCATTTGTTAAAACAGTGGAGGTGGTTGCTGTGGTAGTGGTGAGGGGTACAGTCTTGTCTAGAGGCAGAAGGAGGGAAGGAAACTCAGTCCCGGTCAGGGGCCAGCCTTGAAAATGGGAAAGCTGGAAATGGGCCCAGGAAGGGGCTGTGTGTGTGTGTGTGTGTGTGTGTGTGTGTGTGTGTGTGTGTGTGTGTGTGTGTGTGTGTAGGCAGGAGCACACGTGTGGGGCACTAGGCCCTGTTGCCATGGAGACACCCCCCATAGACAACCTTTCTCTACAGCCCCTCCTGGGAGCAGACCCGGTCCAGGGCCAGCTGGTGGGGGCGGTGGAGCCAGAGAGGAAACTGGGAGGCCAAGGTCACCCTGTACTGGGACCCAGGGTTTCTAGTTGATGCCTCTCATCCTCCGAGCTTCCGGACTCCTTCTTACGGGGGGATTTGGGAAAGAAGTCAGAGGAAGAGGTTGAAACAGGTGAGGGAAACAGAGCCAGGAAGAGGCAGCCAGGAAGAGGCACGGATGGTCGGGATCTCATAGAAGATAGCAATGAATGGACAGGGAACGAGTTATCCATACCGGAGTTGTAGTTCTGTAGCTTTCTTTCTTTTTTTGTGGTGTGTGTGTGTGTGTGTGTGTGTGTGTGTGTGTGTGTGTTTGGGAGATGACAGGGACTAAGTTCCTACACAGGTGAAACTGTTATGGGAAAGGACTGGGGATATTCCAGAGAAGTCTGCCGGCTGGGCCTGCGGAGGGGATTTTCCTTCGTGAAATAGATGCTGGAAGCTGTGGTGTGTGGAGGAAGTGGGCAAAAGAGAAGGGGATTCTCTATGATGTTAAAAAAAAGTTGGGGATGACAAGTTCTAATATTTTGAAGAGAGTGTGGGGTTCAGAATCACCCGAGAAGATCTAGAATTGAGGGGATCCCTTGCAGTGTAGACTGCTGAGGCTGTGGTGAGTTGTCTGTGCCGAGGACAAGAGCCAAGGCATGCTGGGCAGAACAGGGGAGGGTGATCATATTTTTGGACAGGTTAGATATTAGAACATTTCTGAATGGGAGGAAATCGGGGTCTGGAGGAAGCCATGGCTGTAGTAGGAAACCTTGTGAAGCTCACAGAGCAAATTTTTCTTAATGGAGGGGAGAAAGCAACGGAAGGATGAGTTTGTGTGAGTTGTAGGGAGAACAGAGGCCAGGTTCCAAATACTTTTAAGCAAGACTGAGAGCGGAGTTTTCTTTGAGTCAGAAACATAGCAGGGCGCTGGGGTTGGAAGGGAGGTGGGTGAATGAGGCAAGAGGGTACAGGAGGGACTGTGAGAGCCTACATGACGGAGACAGGACGTCCATATGTCTTCCAAAATCTAGGGGATTTGGAAACTCCCCAGGGAGCTTTTTAAACACCCCAGGTGATTGACTGCTGCTCAGCCCCATTAAATTGGGATTTCTCGGGTAGGAGTCCTGCATCAGAATTTTTATTTCATCCTCTCGCACTTTAAAGATGTGTCCAAGGTGGTAAGGCCAATCCTGAGACACAGGGGCCTATCTAGAGGAAATGGGGGAAGTGTTAGGACTCCTGTGAATAGTGAGGCTCACTTGGGAAGGTTTTTTGTTTGTTTTTTGGAGAGATTGGGGGATTTATTTTTCCTAAGTAGAGGAAATTATAGGAGATATGCCAGGTGCAAAACCAGAAACTTTTGGGGAGGGAGGTATTCTGTCAAGGAGGATATAAAAAATCCAAAACATGGAATTAGTGGGCAATTTTTGTTTGTTTTTCTTTAGATGGGGGTGTCCCATAGTCCAGGCTGGTCTTCAACTTGCTATGTAGCCGAGGATGTCCTTGAACTGATCTTCCTACCTTTACCTCATGAGTCCTGGGATGCTAGACATACACCACCATGTCCCATTTATATTCTGGTTGGGATCAAACCCAAGGCTTTATTCATGTTAGGCCAGCTCCTACCAGCTACATCCCCAGCTGATACTGTGGCTCCTGAATTGGAGAGATACCAGAGGCAAAACTGGAGACCTACAGACAGGCTTTTCCTAAGCAGTGGTCCCACAGTGTGTGTGTGTGTGTGTGTGTGTGTGTGTGTGTGTGTGTGTGTGTGTGTTACTGTATGTGAGAAGGCTGGTAACGGGGCCAAGGAAACTAAGGAGTGAGCAGAGGCAGGGGCCTTCTTGAGATAACAGTGGCGTTTGAATCCAGAGTTGGCTTCCCAAGGGGACAATGGTGATCACAACAGAGGAATGGAGGGTGCTGGGTCCTGACCTCTGAGTATATGGATTGGCGAGGGACAATCTTTCAGTAGAATCTAGCAGGAAAGCCGTTTTGGGAGAAAAGAGGCCGTCTCACAGAATTAACTCCCTCTCTCTTGCCCCCACCAGCTGGAGACCATGGCTTCACTCTGACCTCCGCCTCCGCAGCCACCTGCTCGCTGCCCCCCGGCCCCTCTGGCCCCTCGAGGCCCCCGCTTCTGCCTGTGTTGTGACCCCCCCAGCCGCAGGCACGGCCCCACCTCCGCTGCCCCGGTGGTGGCCCACGGCCCCCCGGCTGCCCGTGGTCAAACTGGAGTCATTGAAACGTTGGAATGAAGAGAGGGGTTTGTGGTGCGAAAAGGGCGTTCAGGTACTGCTGACCACCGTGGGCGCCTTCGCAGCCTTTGGACTCATGACCATCGCCATCAGTACTGACTACTGGCTCTACACACGAGCTCTCATCTGCAACACCACCAACCTCACCGCGGGTGATGACGGACCGCCCCACCGTGGGGGCAGCGGCTCCTCGGAGAAGAAGGACCCTGGGGGCCTCACACACTCAGGTCTCTGGCGGATATGCTGCTTGGAAGGTAGGGTGCAGGAAGGCCCTGGCTGGCCACCTCCCTGAAGCCTGTGCCTCCAGCAAATTGACGGCTAGTGTGTTCTGAGTCTCCATCCCAAGGTCTCCGGGGGTGTGTGCTTCCCTGCTGGAGGTGCTATGATTCCACGCATTCCTCGATCCTCCCTCCCGACCCTCTTCTGGGCTTCTTTTTTTTTATTTTTATTTTATATTTTACTTGATGATGTGTATGGATGCTGTGTCTGCAGTTTCAACTATGTGCCACGTGCATGCTCGGTGACCTTTGAGGTCAGAAGAGGGTGTCGGATGCTCTGGAACTAGAGTTACAGATGGCTATGAGCCAGGTGGAATTACCATATATGTATTTGTGTGTGTCCGTGTTTTGCATGAGTGCGTGTGTTCAAGTACCCATGTGCGACTGAACAGGGCCTCTGATCCCCTGGAGCTAGGAGTTATTAAAAAGTTGTAAGCTTCGTGATATGGGTGCTGGGAACTGGACTCTGGTCTCTTGGAAGAGCAGGGAGTACTCTCCACTGCTAAGTCACTTCTTCAGCTACCTTAAATATTTCTTATCCTATCTATCTATCTATCTATCTATCTATCTATCTATCTATCTGTCTGTCTGTCTGTCTGTCTGTCTGTCTGTCTGTCTGTCTGTCTGTCTACCATCTATGTTTATCTAGTGTGTACAAGTTCCAGTGTGAATATGGAAGTCAAAAGGCAACATGAAGGAGTTAATAATCTCCTTCCTTTGTGTGGGTCCCAGGGAGGGGACTCAGGTTGCCCCACTTGGCAGCAAGTGCCTTCACCCACGAGCTGTCTCACCAGCCCTGGCCATTCTTGCCCCTTCTCCGTGTCTTGGCTCTCCTGTTGGCTCTGTGGGTTCCCAGAACCGAAACAGAGCTATGCCTTCTGACCGCCCCTGGTCCCTCTTCCTCACTCTCCTTCTTGGAGGTCTTCCTCTCCTCATCTGCAGCCCTTAGCTCCTCTCCCCTCAGGACTTCTCCCAAGCTCACATCCCGGTCATTCTAGTCCTCTTTTGGACAGTTCTACCTCATCCTCCCGGCCTCACGCCTTCCTCAACAGGCTCCTTGCTGCTCTCCACTCTCCCTCCAAGTGTTTTCTCTGTGCTGCTTTCAGGCTCAAACCTGACTCCTTGCCCGGCCCCTCTTGTCCAGGACACACGCTCTCTTCCTCTTCAGCTCCTTCTCTAGCCCGCCCTCCATGCCAATAATTCTTTCACGCACATTTCGGATGTATCTTTCATGCGTGTAGAGGTGTTGGGCTGGGAAGCAGGACTCTGGGTGCCTTACCATGTGACCCCTATCCTTCCACCTTTCAGAGCCTCTGCGCTCTCATCTGTGGCATCGAGGAGTAGACCAGCAACCTGGAAGCTCCTGCTTTACCGCCAATAGCAGAAGTTTTTACACTTTTTTCCCCCTGTTGCCCCTGATGCCTCTCTCCTGTGGAATCACTCACCTCAAGTGAAGAATGGGTGGGCTTTGAAGATGAGTCTGTGGAATGTTCCACACTGGGAAACTAAAGTCAGTCAGCAACATTTCAAAGCAGCGAGACTGCTCCCTAAAGGTCTGCCTTCTGGCTTCCAGCGAGCTATCACAGAAGATCTGATCCCCAGGGCCGGTGTTCAGAACTGACCCCTGCTGGCCCAATATGAGTAGCAGACACTTTTTCAGATCTGGTTACAAAGTCAATCAGCTGTCATAGTCACCTCTGCTCACTGCCATCCCATGTCTCTCCTCTTCTCTGTTACCCCCCACCCCCACCAGGGGGACATGTCACCCGTGTCCACTCTTTTGGTCTGACCAGGCATGAAGTACAGAGCCAACTATGGGAGTTTGCACAGGAACCCTCCATGACAATGTGTGCCATCCATCCATTCATTCATTCATTCATTCATTCATTCATTCATTCTCTCACTCGTTTATCCATGTATTTATCCATCTGTCCATCAGTTTTTATTGGCTTTAAACTGTGTAGCAGGCTCTGTACCTTTTAATTTTGTGTGTATGTGTCAGAATGGGCTGAATGTGTATCACTGTGCAGGTAGATATCAGAGGAGAATTTGCGGGAGTCATTTCTCTCCTTCCACCACGTAAGTTCATGGAACTGAATTTAGGTTGTCAGGCTTAGAAGCAAGCATCTCTGCCCACTGAGCCATCTCCACGGTCCCCAGGTTCTCCTTGTTGACTCAAGAGCAATAAGGGGCAAATCTCTGACTCTAAATATCTTCTGCTCTGCAAGGAGAGAGAAAGACTAATGGAAATAAATAGAAAAAAAGCAGAAATGGAGAGAGGGAGATATCAGGGTTATACATGTGAGTTAATCAAGAAGGCTGGGAGGCATTTCACATAGCAGTTGACATTGGTTGGTGGCCTGAAAGAAGTGAGGTTGGAGACACATGGGTGTATGGGCTGTGGAAACGGTAGCTGCAAAGGCCCTGAGGTGATCATGAATCTGCATTTGGCCACCAATGGGAGGCCAGCATGGCTGGGACACAAGGGAAGGAGAGAGAGGAATGTACGGTCAGGAGACAACAGGCTCTTGATGCCACAGATTCATGTGCACCCCACGGAAGATCCAGCTTTTGCTTGGTGGTGGGAGCCATTGACTGCTTTGGAGCAGGGAAGCCATGGCAGTTGGCTTCAGTTCTAACAGGATGGCTCTTGCTGCTGCGTTGAGAAATGGCTAAGGGAAGGCTGGAAAGGGAGAATGTGGGAGCTGTGGTTTGAATTCACAGTATATTCCAAAGTTCCCCGTTGGAAGGCATTGCTGACGGAGCAACTGTGGGATCTGAGAGAGAGAGAGACATGATGAGGGGTGTCTTGGAGGCGGGGTTTCTGAACCTCAGCCCTGGTGACATTTTGGAACTGAGAATTCTGTGTGGCGGGGGCTGAGCTGTGCACCGTAGGATGTTGATCTGCTTCTCTATTCTCTGTCTAGTCCCGCCCACCCCCCAACAGTTGTGACAACCAAAATTGTAAATTGTCTCCATACATTATCTACATTCCCCTGGGGAATTAAAAAAAAAAAACAAAACACCTCAGGTGAGAAATCCCATGTGATGATGAAGCTTTGACCAGAGCCCTTGGCAATAAGGGAGATCTGCTCATGAGATGGAAGAGCGGGCATTTTGTTCAAATTCCTATGTTTTCTCTTATTTCTCTCATAATTAAGGAGGGATATCACCGGCTCAATTGTGAGCACTTTCAGATTTAGAATGTTTGCCAGGAAATAGTACCTGTGATGGGAGAGGCGGCATTTGTGAAGGGCTTATGGCATGCAGAACGGTAATTGTTTCAGGCTTTTTGTGGAGCACATGGTCGGTGTTGCCCCTGCTACTGAAAACACCCGTGCTACACCTGAGTGTGGCTGCCGCCCAGCTGAGCGTCATTCACGGTCACCGGCGTTTGAGTCTCATGCCCTCGCCTTTGCTATTCCTCTTTTCGCCCCCTTCTTCCTTCCTTCCTTCCTTCCTTCCTTCCTTCCTTCCTTCCTTCCTTCCTTCCTTCCTTCCTTCCTTTCCTTCCTTCCTTCCTTCCTTCTCCCCGCTCCTCCATCTCCGTCTCTTCTTTCTGTGGGTTTTGGTTGGGCTTTTGAGATAGGTTCTCAGGTAGGCTGGCTTCTAACTTGCTTTGTAGCCAAGGCTGGACTTTGTTTTTAAAATATGAAGTCTATGCAGTCTCTTTTAATTTTATTTTTAATTAATTAATTAATTAATTTAGTGTGTGTGTGTGTGTGTGTGTGTGTGTGATATACATGCATGCCATGGCCACATAGGTTGAAGTCAGCAGCTAACTCGTGACAGCTAATTTCCTCTTCTCTTCCTACCATGTGAGTTCCAGGGTAGAACTCTGGTCATCAGATCTGACAGCAAGCACCTTGACCCGGTGAGCCATTTCATTGGCCCAGACAAGATCCTCTTGTCTCTGTCTCCTAAGTGCTGGGATTCCACCATGAGTCCCCACACCTAGCTTACCGTTTTTTGTTTTTGAGACAGGACTATACAATGCAGTTTAGGCTAGCCTTCAATCACAGCAGTCCTCCTGCCTCAGCAGCCTAAGTACTGAGACCACCGGTATGAATCACCATACCTAGCTTTTCCCCCAGTAGATTGAACCCAGGGCCTCATGCACACTACGAAGATACTTTATCCCTCAACTATATCCTCAGCTTTCTTTTTATTTTGAGACTAAGTGTCCCAGGCTGGCCTTGAACTTGCAATCCTCGCACCTCAGCCTCCCAAGTAGATGTAATAAAAGGTCTGTGTCAAAAGTCTGGCAGAATTTCATGCTGTTTTCAGATGCCAGGAAACCACTCTTCTTTTCTCCATCCTTTACAAACTGAAGAAGCCATTCTCAGTTAGGTTTGATCTGTTTGTGGTCCTTCTCTCCTCTTGTTTCAGCCTGTTAGAGATGTGGTCTGGGAGGCTGGGGTCAGGGGAGCAGCCTGACTGGAGATGCCAATGGGTTGAGTATCAGTGCATGAGTGGACCAGAGTCACCTAAGAGAAAAAGAAGAAATACAGCAAACGACCGAGTTCATAAAGCGCTTGCTTCACAAACACAAGGACCTGAGTTCAATTCCCAGAACCCACATAACAAAGCCAGACAGGGTGGCAAATGCTTGTCATGCCAGCATTGGGAAGTCGGAGACATGAGCATCGCTGGGCCTTGCTGGCCAGCCTAGCCTCTAGCCAGGGGCCGTCTCAATGGAAGTAGCGTTCCTTAGAATGACATTCAAACAGCCCAAGAAAAATCAGACAGAAACCATTTGAAGCCAGGCCGGATGGTCCCCTCCTACGATCCTAGCACTTGGGGGCAGGATCTCCAAGGCAGGATCCGTGCTCCAGATGGGCCTACACCACGTAGCAAGACCTTGTCTCAAAAGGGGGGGAAAAAAAAGACAGTCAAAAGGTGTTCTAATTTCATTTCTGTTGTTATGATAAAATACTCTGTCAAAAAATAACTTAAAGGAGAAAGAGACCTTTTCA